CTCAGTTCCCTGCCGTACGTTAGTCGACACTCATTATCCAATATATATATATGAAGACTTTCACCACAGTTTCGTGGAATGTGATTCAGCAGTCTTCGTAAACTACGAAGCTATCAACCGGATTATGACCATGGACTACAAAAGTAAGTTTGCTTTCGGTACACTAGATGGTGGTTACTGCTGGTCTTTCAGCATTCCACACCTCAAAATTCTGGTTATCTCCGCTTAGCACGCTGTACAACACTAGGCAAACCGCCCCTACAGTGTCCACATTCTCTTTATATCAGCCTCTAGTGACTCTCGTTCGCTTGCCTTCGAAGATGGCAGTGCCGTTTGCACGACCGCACTATACCGACTGCGCGTATATTCGCGAAATGCGTCCTTGTCCGGCTAGCCGGAAGCCGCCTTCAGGGTTGCTTGTTTTTCATAGTCACAGTGCCTTTATTGGCTACTGTGATGCCGGGCTTTATTTACGGTACCCGCCCAATCTAAGGAAAAAGACAACTATATATTAAACCAAGGCCACCATTTGTAACTAAAGAATAACACTAACATTTAGCGGGTAAACTGGGTAATCGTTAGCTCCATCGTCATCTCGGTGACCTGTCCCTTCTAAATTTCATGTGCATTGTGCGTTCTGGCTCGACATGCCTTCCTGCGTTTTCCACTGTTGCATCATGCCTGTTAGTCCCTTTGGTCAGCAGCCTACAGTTATCTTCTTTGCCCAATACGCTGACCTTCGATCATTCGTGAACTAGATATGTGGATTCCGACCGAAGGTGGAATCAGTCCACACTTGGGCTTTCATCCAACTGCCGTTTGGGTGTTTTTTTCCGCATGCCCTTAAACTGTATTTTTTACTTAAGTAAACAATTTCAGGCGGCTATACTTTATTTCCTACTGTCGAGATATCAGGCCTTAAACACACATTTATTAAATCTTCATCAAACTTTAAACCTTGAAACACAGTTTCTGTAAGAAACTTGAGCGGAGGAACTTTTGCCACTAGGTGGCCTCACAAGAAAACCTAACCAAAATAAGTTAATTGAATAGAATATGTCGATTTTGGACCATGCGACTAGTTCTTCTTAAGAAAAGAGTCAAATGGATAGTTAACCGTGAAGCAATCCGAACGAGGATGCGTCACGGATTCTAAAAAAAATTTTCAAGAAACTCAGCGAGCCAATGCTTTCTCGGCATCCCGAGTCTATTAACCAGTTGACAAATCCAAACGGTGTATAATTTGGGATAAAATTACTGAAGGTTTTTTAAAATTCTATTAAAAGCCTGAATAATTTATATCTTTGACTATTCAATTCCAATCAGGCTTACTGCATAAGAAAAAACTAATCAGAAATGACGTGAAAGAAGTACGAAAAAGGTAAAAAAAAACGTGTCAAAGAGGCTACTGAATTCCAAAATAAGTACAGTTGATATCCATGTAAGCATCCGGGAAGTCAAGTTAGGCGAATGAACCTTCTTGATAAATTAATCCTCAGGCAAATACCATAGTATAAGGTAGGGTGGAGTTAACGAAAGTTTTAGCAACCAATCAGTAGTAATTATGGAG